TTAAATATTTAAGAGCAACGTTCCTGTCGAATTCGATTTGATAAGCCTTTTTGATACCGCTTAATGCTGTTATCAAACAAGGCTCGATTTTTTTAAGCGAATCGTAATTAAATTCTATTATGTGTCCATTATCGATAGCATAATTAAGCCATCTTGAAAGATTCCCGGACGACCCCATTTTCATTAAAATTTTTTACAAAACCGTATGTAAAGTTAACACGGTATGTAAACCAGAAACCAGTGGTACGAAATTATATTACTATAGTACATATAAATGATTATTTAAACCGATTAACTCTTATCTTACCATAAGCAGCATGATTATACAGTATTACAGTACCTTTAATGATATAATCGCTTAAATAGTATGATTTCCTAAATAGTACATGGGATTATTTTATATAATTCTGCCAAACAAATAACGAAATATCCTGAAGTTAACCTACCATCCTGATAGCAAATAATAAAATTGCAAGTAAACTTTACCTAATAGGATTTTATAAAACAAATAATAAAAATATTCTGAATTTAACTTAAGAATTGCAATGTCATTGAGTAAGAATGCAATTAAGCCCCATTTATATAACTTAACAAAAAAAAACAAAATACTCGAGATTCAATTTATAAGATACAATAGTAAATATGAATACTATTAAATATAATTTATATGATTTTTAAAAACATACTACAGTTTATAATGACAAAAAAAAATCAAATTTGATTGATTCTCATTTTATATTATTTTACGAAACAAATAACGAAAATATTCCGATTTAACTCACCAACTGTAAATAGAAAAGAATAAAATATTTGAATTTTTTTTTTTTTTTTTTACTGATTACATAAAGTATTAATCTAAAAACGTAATCATTTAAACATTGCAAAACTTTTAATAATAATTATAACAATACAATATTTTATCAAATGATGATTCAATCATTTACCAAGTATCAATCTCGTTATTAATAAACTCTTAGTGATTTTCCAACTTCACCAACCTAAATACTTCATAATCAACAATGGAAAAAGTACATTCACCCGCTGATCTAATTCTCTTATAATAACTGTCGTTGGCACCAGCACAACTCAAATAATCCTGAGTAAAATCGGATTTTTCCGAATACATATGTAGGTCAGTTGTACCGAAATATATACCAATCTTGTTTTGTTCAAAAGAAGAACAACTATAAAAAGCATAATGTGAATCTTTTACTCGACTAACAATCGAATTTTGAATGTTTCCATTTTTTAATGAAAAAATGAAACTATCATTTGTGGCCACGTAAGTTCCTTGAGTTGGTTTACCCCACACTAGGGGATTGTACCCGCCAAGAATTTCATCCGTTCCTGATACTTTTAAAACTGTAACCGTGTTTGCACAGTT